GGATTTAATCCCACCTGTTCCATGTATTGAGTTTCAGCCCTTTATCCCCCCAGGATAAGGGGCTGAAAGATGGATGGATGGATGAACCAAAGAAGCAGGTTTTCACAGTATAAATTTTTATTGCTACTTTGGCTGAAAAGGTGATCAAAAATGCAGCTTTTCTGCCCAAAACTAGTCATAGCAGCATCTGAAATAAAACTATGCACCTTCTCCCATTGTGACATCCAGATAAATCCTCTTCCGGCTGATGAACAGCAAAAGTGCTCTCATGTACTCTCTTTCCTTAATAATATAACAACATACTATAACATATTTTCTAAACTAATTACATCCAATATATGACAGATTTTGAGTATATTTAGCAGTTCTCTGCATGCTAAAATATAAACATAAAAATATTGTGTATGCCCCCAGATAGATAAACAACGCTTTATGAACATTTTTTAGTACAAATTAATCACATTTCTATATATACTGTTTACATTATATATAGGGCATGCTTGAGACAAAGACATTAATATTTTAAACAAAAACAGTACCTTGGAGGGTGAAATGACAGGATCATTTAATCCTTAATTCGTAAAAGACAGACCTACAAATCAGCATGAAACAATGAAGTACAAAAATAAACCTCAGCTTTCTTGGCATTGAGAGAAAATATTTAGGCATTTCTAGAAAACAATTTTACAGAAATAAGGATGGATGAGCAAAGTCAACTTTGGTCACGAGTCAGACGACCGGAAGGGCCACATCCCCGTCTCTTCAGGCACGACCGCAGGCAAAGCGCAGATCAGGAATACGACCAGAGGAGCTGCATCTGCCACCACGTGACCCCAGCATCACACAGCTTTGCATAAACTCATGGTGTCTCTGCCACAGCAAATAGCTACGCTCTTTCCTAAAATTAAAGGGAATTTCTCAATCTGTACCCTGTTTTCTTTATTGATCAATCAGCCGGACATGTATATCCTCAAATATAAATGCACACATCTAATTTACTGCATTAAACACCTAGATAATCCTTCATATCCATAAGCAAAAATAAAGCTCCGTCCTGCATCGTAGCGTCCCGCTCCCTGTAGTGAATATCCTGTTTTTGGTTTTATAACACAAAAATAAAAACAGGCTGTTAAGCGATAATGGCAACACCACTGAAGTTGCGCAAATGCATCCTGGGAATGAACTCAAAGGATTTTTGGCATGTTGAGCCTGACACAAATGTATTCCAGGTCCCACTGGGCCGGTCCAGTTTGGGTTCAGCCTTGGCGAAACCCTCCCCGAAAGCAAGGGGGAGAGCAGGTTGGCAAAGTGGGTCAGACACAATGGAGGAACACACTGCACTGTGCACGTCACACACCGTTCCTACGGATATGCCTGTGGCCAATGACTCCTGCTTTAATATGCTAAACTGTCCCTAACCCCAAAAATCAAACATTTGCAAACATGAATAAAAAAAAGACATTTTTTGCAGTTGAACATTTAAAAAAAAAAAACATTTTAAAAGAAGGCAGTTCTTCCATAGATGCCCCCCCCCCCACAAATTCTGTTACCCCAGACACACAAATAAGACATGTGATAATGATTAAAAATCAAAGTGACTCCATATCAGGCCACAAGACAAACAAACAAATCAAACAACATTCAAACTTAAACTCCTGTGTGCATTTGTGTCTACAGAACTGCATTTTAGTTCAGCTTTCAGTAAGATCCAGAATCTGGAAATTCAAAACGGTTCGTGTCTGTTGATACTCCTTTGATATTTCGGTTTTGGAATAAATAAATTTCTGTTATGCATGTTGTTGAGTTCATCTGGATTTTGGACCAAGATTTCTGCAGTTCTGGATTTTACCGAAACCCCAGAGTGGAACGAGCGCACAGCATGCATTACTTTCTGCTCATTTCCACATTTTACCATAAAACACGGGAAGGAAGCACATTAATAGGACTGTTATTTCTGATATAATTTCCCTAGTGAAGCACTAGTGTTTGAAGGCCCTGCCTTCAGCCCTAAAGCCTGCTTCCCCAATCGACAGAGACACGCCAATACTCAGGAAGAGACACACCAGGGACATGCCAATATCATGATGACAGCTGTATCATGTAACAGTACTGATATTCAAATAACCCAGGAAAATGTGCAGTGATTTACCACCTGCAGTATACATCCTGACTTCAATCTCCCAAAACTCATGCCACTGGTACTTAGGTGTGTTTAGAAGCAAGTGTCCCAGTTCTCCAACACATTGTGATCTTGTTGATCTCCAGTGACCTTAACGCATGCCTGTCTTCAGTAAAATAACACTAACAGACAAAGATCTTTCACAGGCTTACACACGAGCTCGAATAATATAAATCTATATAAAATCTTTGCCCAGACATTCACATGAGAAACCCATTTTTTAAAGACTCATAAACATTAACGCTTAATAAAGAAACACAAAAAAGTTCACATTTAAAAGAATGATTAATGCAGGAGCACAGAGCTGGGCATTCAGCAAAGCTAGCAAACAAAGTAATAAAGATGTTTCTTTTTTTTTTTAATCTCGGGGGTACAAATCTTCAGTGGGCTTCAGTGAAACGGCAGCTATTTTAAGTTACGGTCTGGTGTAAGGTTAACATGTGTGAAACACGGCTGTGAAACACTGCGATATGAAATGCAAAATGCAAGCCCCCTCTATCCACAATCCCATTGAGGGTGCCGCGTAGCCCTTGATCAGTGTAAGGCCACGGGGGAAATGTCATGTCACCTTATTACGTTGCTATGGCAGCGCATGTGTGGTGTGGTGGCATCGAGGAGTTCCAGTGGGACTCCCAGTACACAGACAGTGTTGTTTTTTAACATCACACGACATACAGATCTTCATTCCTACACATGAGTACATACACGCAACATATACAATACACACCAAAGCCTTTCACAGTCACTTAGGAATATAGAAGCAGGCTGCCCCTAACAAGAAAGCTTTTGTTTGGCACAGAGAGGGCAGAGTTAGCTCTGGAGACGTGTAGGAAGGAGATCATTTAACTAATGTTTTTTTGCAATGAATTTCTGAACAATGCATTACCCTTTTTGTTTGAGTGTAATTTGATAGTGAAGCGCAACTCTTCGGGTGGAGAGCACGGGGTCATTTTCATCGTACAATGTTATTTTTTTCACCTCATCTCCTCCTACACAATACTTACTATGGTTACTGCAATTCACTGCTGTTCAAAACGCCGCTATTGTGAGAGACGCACGCAACCAGCAGCAGAACGACCGGGGTGGCTGGGATATGGCACAGACACTGACAGAAGATCCTAGGCAAACAACGCCCCACAACATGCCTGTTCCACAGTGCACACGGTTCATACACACACACACACACACATACAGGCACTCACACAATACACAGACTGGTGCTGAGCTAGCAGAACGACCAATCGCGGCACAGCACAAGCCTTGAGCCGTGCATGACAGCGGGCTTTTCAATATCATTGCACATACCTACGCGTAAACCTATGTACCATCATGTCATGCTACAATCAAAAACAGTCTTAACGCCTGAACAGCCCCCCCATCCAAAGACACATGTTTTGGGCTACACCCTGGACCGCAAAAATGGGGGAGGGGGAGTGGGGGGGCATAAGCGCGCGTCCCTGGGCAACTTTGGGAGCATTCTTAAGAATGCAGTGATGAACAACCACGAAAAAAATCACCCGGATTTAATGCTGACCGATAATACTATATTTTACCTGAATTAGATTCATTTTTAAAAAACAAATGATAAGATGTGAGTTCTTCCAAAAGCGAACAGACGAATGGACATGGCTCCCCCCCCCCCAGTGCTTAGTGGTGGGACCGGCAGGCCGATATATGACACGTGTTACTTCAAGTCCCGCTTAACGTTTACCGTCGCATCGAAGCGCAAGCTTGCGTTCAGCGCGTCACATAATGAAAGTGCAAGATTAGATAATGAGGAACAGGGACAGGAACGCAGTCACAGGCCGCAGTTCCGAGCCCGGCCTCTAGATGGCCCCCCTGAGCCACAATTCAGTCCTTCCCCTTCTCATTTCAAAATCATAATCATTCCGGAGCCTTTACCTCTATGGATATAGACAATGTAAATTATTACTGAGATAAAAATAACCGACAGGGTTATAAAGTGCAATCCTACAATACGTTTTATCATTAAGTTAACGTCTCTCGCAGTATTTCTCCTTTATCGGTGCATACGCAGACCTGTCCCGTCTCTTTCCCCTGTTAAAAATAAAGCGCACGGAAACAAATCTGCCCCAACAAAATATACATACAGCATGGCTAAAATAGTCATCTTGGTACCATACATACAATTTCCACGATTACTGACATAATCAATTAAATTCTCTAATCAATATGAAAAATATACCGTTATATGCTTTTTGTTATGGGTTTTGCTGCTGGACGCAGATGCTTCGTTATACAAGTATGCAAGATTTTGGGACCGTCTGTCAAACTCGGGTGCGCGCCCGCTTGGGCACGGCGCTCACCCCCAGGATGCCCAGTGCCGCCCATTTCCGAGCACCAGCGCTGGATTTCAGAGTCTCCACCACAGGCATCCTGGGAGACCAGACTTCGTCTTGATTCCCTTGAGGTACGAGCACAGTGAAGGAAGCAGATCCTCGCCCTCGCCTAGTAGCGGCAATAAAAATAAAAGCATGAGATGTGGCGTCAAATCGCCGCTGTCACCTAGTCCCCGCTGCTCAGCCTTGGGGCGTCACTACAGCGTAAGCTAAGCTTGGCCTGCACACTATCTCATGGCTGCATATGTGAACCTCCGTCCCTATCCCTTTGCCGTTTTTTCTGGTCTCGGCAAAGCGACTGGCTTTTACAAAACGGCGCTTGGAATGCATAATAGACCTCGGCGAGGTGTGAAACGGCAAGGCTGGCGGGCGTCTCAGCGCCCCGCGATTCCCCCGAGTGCCACGTCCACCCGCTCCAGCCTAACAACCAATCAGCAGACACAGATAGGTGCTCATCACCAACCCTCCCCCCCCCCCCAAAAAAAGTTAATAGAAAAGGAGATGCTTTACCATCCAGCAATTCGAAAGCCAACCTGAAGGGAACCGTGTTTCTCTAAAGCTGCAACTTCCTCTGGCTTTCTTAAAACCCAGACAGCCCATAAACCACAAATGTCGCCCTGCCCCGCAAGCTGTGGTCCTGCCCAGTCCACAGCAAAGAAAAGCCACAGAGCTGCTAGCTAGACAAGAGGTCAGACATACCCTGCGACAGACCCACTATTGCCCTCTAGGGGGCACTGTGGGGGACTCTTCTCTCCTACAATAGGCACTTTTAAAAAATTCTTTAACCCTTGTTTTTTCGCTGCGGCACTACTGCGTTCACCGACGAACCTCTGGATCAGAAATACACGCCAGTAAGGAATTGCGGCCATGTTGCCACATGTGTAAAGGGACACGGCGATACCGCTTTTTGCAGTGTTATGAGGTATTCCAGTCTAAGCGCGCATTTTGGCCACGTCTGTCCCTCTCATCCACCCCACCCGCAGCGACTGCACGCCTCACTCAACGACCGTGTTTTTCAGCTGGTCACACCGACCGGAAGAACAAACAGTCAGGACCACGCGAAATGCATCCGTTCTGGCAATGGCCTAACGTTACCGTGGTTACGCAAGCAGGACCCCGTACTGACCATGTGATCACTCAAACTGGAAGATGCCACAGGCGCCACGGAGACCCGGCCGAGAGCAGCGCGGCGTCCCTGCTGACACAGCGGCACGCGGACCTCTATAGCGCAGTGTCATACACCTCCTGCTGAGCAGCAGCAGTGGGGCCAAGGTCCTGGGGGCACAGCTGGGGGGGGTGGGGAGTCTCCCAGTCAGGCTCTCTGGTGGGCAGGGGGGACAACGTTGGGGGAGGTGGTCCCGGGACCACAGCATTTTGCCCCCTGAGCTGCTCCCAGACGTCCTGCTTCAGGTTCGGGGGCACCACCAGCTGGTCCTCGGGGTCCTGCTGGGCAGGAGCGGAGAAGTAGCCCGATTTCTTCTTGGGGGCCTCCAGGGCCACCTCGATGAGATTGTGACTGTCCTCCAGAGCCACCACAGAGCCATTGGACAGCTTCTTCCCGAAGAGGCTGGAGGTGGACGGGGACTTCTTCAGCTCTGAGATCTCCCTGCCACACACAGCCAGCAGGCAGCCGTTGGTGGCTGACACCACCACACTGCCTTGCTGCCGCAGCTTGTCACTGAAGCCCCCATTGGAGAAGGCGGAGCCACGCTGGTCGTGGGGCGGCCCCTGCTCCTCCTCGTCACGCCCCGCCGAGCGGATCTGGAAGGCGCAGCAGTGGATGTCGACCTCCACCTCCAGCTTGCTGCCGTTGGAAATGACGCCCTCTAGTGGCACCTCGTCATCACTGTCAAGCCCATTGTCAGATTGGTTGCTGGAGAAGGTGGCACTGGAGGGTTGGCGCTGGAAGAGGCTCGGGTGGGTGGCGGTGGGGCCACAAACAGTGGCAGCTGGGTGCAGGCTGCATCGCCGCTCAGGCCGAGAGGCGGGGCCTGATGAGGGATTCTCATCAGACGCTGTGGATCCTGCCTCACTGCCAACCTCCGAAGCCGACATCTCACTGTTGAACTCGGAAGCGATGCCACTGCTGGACGAGGGCGTGGCTGGATCCCCGGGGGGCACGGTAATGGGCAATGCCCCCCCGACTCCTCCCCCAGACCCGGGCTTGCCCTCCCCAGGGGCGACGGGCAACTCGCAGGTGCAGCTGTCCTCCCCGACATTGAGGGCCACCACCACCGCTCCCACGTTGTCCCGACAACCGTAGCTCTGCGCCAGCGTGCACAGCCTCTTGGCGGCAGCGCGTGGCTCTCGCACAGCCAGCACGGTGCTCACCGCCTCCTCGTAGGACACCCTCTCGAAGAGCGCCCGGTTGCCCAGGATCAGGAACTCATCCTGGGCACACAGCGGCTCCGTGCGTACCCAAGGCTTGGGCAGCACCCAGGGGTAGAGGTAGGAGCAGCCGAGCAGGCGGGAGCAACACGTCACACCGCTCACCTTGTTGTCCTGAAACACAGATAAGCACTAAATTTGTTTGTACCTCTGTTATTCTCTGGCATATATACACAGAAGAAGTGAACAGAGAGTCACACTGCATTGAAACAGATACATAAGTGCAGATTCATCACAAAGAGAGAGACAGAGAACCAGAGACAGATACATACAGGTATAGACAGGTGCAAACTGGCACAGACAGACACAGACAGAGACAAATAGCTACAGATAAACATAGACAGGCAGTGACAATACAGACGGGCACAAACCGGCACAGACAAGTGCAGATAGACACAGACAGAGAGAGACAGGCACAGACAAGCACAGACAAAGACAGACAACGACACAACAGGTATCAGGTACAGAATCAGACATGCTCAGACAGACACAGACAGATGCCGACACAGACAGATGCAGAGAGACAGACAGATACAGACACATACAGACAGAGACAGACAGGCACAGACACAAACAGTCACAGACAGGCACTGACACGGACAGGCACAGACACAGGCAGGTGCAGACAGAGACAGACAGGCACAGACAGATACAGACGGGCACAAACCGGCACAGACAAGAGCAGATAGAAACAGACAGAGAGGGACAGGTACAGACAAGCACAGACACAGACAGATGCAGAGAGACAAACAGACACAGACAGATGCAGAGAGACAGACAGAGATGGACAGAGACAGACAGGCACAGACAGAGATGGACAGAGACAGACAGGCACAGACACAGACAGGCGCAGACAGAGACAGACAGGCAGAGACAGATAAAAACAGGCACATACAGATGCCGACTCAGACAGGCACAGACAGGGCTATGTACCCACCTCGGTGATTATGGCTTTGCTCCGCTTCACCCGGTCTGTCTCCTCGGCACTCTGCTCCAGGCTGAACACCTTGGAGAGTACCAGGGGCCGTCTGTCCCGGCACAGCAGGGCCTGGCAGGTGCCCACATTGGCCAGGGTGAGGCTGAAGTAGCCGCCAGGGTCCGAGGCCTCGTGGTGGATGTAGCAGAGCAACGCTGAGGCCCCCAGCTTCTGGCCAGCCATCCCCAGCTTCCTGCTCACGGGGGGAGATGCGGCACCCTCTGTGATTCTGAGCGTGCCGTGTGCAGGATCGCGCTGGCATGCATGCGTGCAAGCGGCAGGGTAACCATACCGGTGTGACGTGAGGAAGGTGTTGCACATGTACACGGTGTCCACTGCAGAGTGCTGGATCTCCTCTGACAACACGTCTCCCATGGTGCACTGCAGCAGGCGCGGCACCTCTTCGTTGCGGTCGCCATCAAAGATGCCGTACGCCGCCTCCGTGTTGTCGCCAAAGCGGTCCATGGCGAGGACCGACACGCAAAGCCTGCGTCCAATGGAAGAGCAAGTAGTTACCGAGGGGGAGGGAACGCACACGCAGATATAAATATACAAATGCGCACACACACAAAAATACATACATGCGCAGAGAGATATATACACATACAGCCTGTGTCCAATGGGAGTTCTCTGAAGGGGAGGGGAGACACACATATGCACACACACACACACACACACACACGTTGGCCTCGGGGTAAGAAGAGCTGATGGGAAGGTTGCTAATCTGAGAACAACCCCAGGGCCCATGACCCCAGCCGGGGGGGCAGGCAGGAGTGGGCCTCATTAAAGATGAAAAGGCCCCCGTCACACCTTCACGGGACGCTCCGTTCCGGGAGGTTCTCCTCAGCGGCCCGCAGGGGCGCCTGTCATCCCCGCCACGCAGCCGTGGGGGGGACCAGGCAGCTTTTTTTAGAGGATCTAGCCTCCCAGAAGCCCTTCAAACAACAGAGCGAAACCTGACCTGACGTCAGCTAAGAGCTACAGCTGACAAAGACACATTAACAGTTGCACACAATTAAGAAGAAAGCTTGTCTCTATAAGCCGTGCGCTGCTCTGTGCCCTCCTAAGGACAGCACTGATGAGCAGTGTCTGGTTTCCCTCCCTCCTTTCTCCTCGTCCGTCCCGTTCCCGGCAGCCCAATCTCATCGCCCCCCTCCCCCGCCCGCCTGCCGCCCCACCCAAACCTCGCTCCTCACTTGTTCCTCTGGCCGCTCATCTCGGCATAGCCGTGGCTCCAAAGGCTGGACGTCACGGGGGCGTCGCCGGAGCTCACGGCCGGCTTCTGGTCTAACTTCAGGGTGGTGATGTGGCTGAATGGGGCAGGGCAGAGACTCAGCGGACCAAGAGGAGAGCAGACGGAGGACCGATGACCGGCACCGCGCTCAGCACTAGCCAACCCCCCATCTAAATTCCATTTATTCATCAGATAACCACATCCTACTGCACTCAACCCCATCTTATTTATCCCTGTGGGAATTTAACTTAATATTCAGTGCATTTATTTAGCAGATGCTCTTATCCAAAGTGACGCAGAAGAAAAGAAAGATTAGAGTCACAGAGTGGTGTCACCATCCAGCACCCTGGAACACTTGGGGTTAAAGGCCTCGACTGAAGACCCAACAGTAATATTATTACTCTGCTAGCCACTGGGATTTGAACTCACGCCCTTCCTGGTCCCTCTGGGTGGCCCAGCCCTCTCACCTGAAGAGGTTGAGGGTCCTGTGCTCAAGCATGAGGTTGCTGTTGCCCGTGAGGTCCAGTTCCTGCAGGGTGGGGGGCAGGGAGTCGGGCAGCAGGATCTCAGTGAGCTCATTACAGCTCAGGTCAGCCAGCTGCGGACAGGGAGCAGACGGTGAGGGGGGCTGGTGTGCGACCCTCCCCCCCCCCCCCCGGTGGCCAGGGGAGCTCACCTTGACCTCCGGGAGACAGAGGATCTCGGGGAACACGCTGATGTGGTTGGAGTGTGCAATGAGGGTGTGCAGTCTTTTGCAGCTGGACACAGTGGACGGTATGGTCTTCAGCTTGTTCCCACTCAGGTTCAGCTCCTCCAGCAGCTCCAGCTTGCTCAGCTTGCTAAAAAAAACAGGCCACAAGGGGGCGCCAACTAGGATATCAACGTGGACCAAGGATCTGAATAGGATTTAACTTAACCAAAATCAATTTTAAGCAAAGTCAGGTTTTGCATGCCATACTGCTGTAGGTTCAATGGCTTGTGTTAAGAAATGGGAAAGACAGACAGTGGCTCATGGATGTCCCCTGTGGATACAGGCACACAAAAGCTTCTAGAACATTCAGTGTCAGTCTTTGGTTAATTAAAATGTATATGGCCAAGCATGTGACCCCATTAAATCATGGTATTACCTGGCTGGGAAGGAGAGCAGCTGATTGTAAGCCATGTGCAGCACACGCAGGTTCTGGTGTCCCACCAGCAGGGCGGCGCACTGCTCATTCAGGTTATTGCCTGTGAGGTAGAGCTCCTGGAGTGTGCTGAGGCTCTCCTCTGATTGGCTGCTTGGGGGGATGGTCTCCAGGCAGTTGGCAGACAGGTTCAGGTATCTCAGGCTGTTTGAATGAGGTTGGGGGAGGGGGGTCAGCAGCTCAATAAGGGCACATATTTACAATGGTTTTTATGACTCCTCTCCAATGATGGGGATCTGATATCATCATCCCCCTGGCACAGTGAGGAGACAGGCTGACATGAAGTTAACCTTTATAGAGCATTACCATAAGAAAATAATATTGTCAACGCACAGGACTTACAAAAAGAGCGGAAATGAGTCAATACACACAAATCGTCCAGGGCAAAGTTTTTGGAGGCATTTAGTGAAAAAAGCAGTGTCTGTAGAAACACGTTTTCGGCGTTGTAATCGCGCACTCCAGACGGGCCGTGCGGCTTCAGACATCAGTATCGCAGACAGGCACTGATTAATGCATAGTGTGTCCCAGGGTCTGGCGGACATCAGGGCCCTGCTCCGCTCCTGCAACAGTGACATCACCATGAGTCCGTGCTGAGGTCACAGATGCACTCTGACTATGAGCACAGTTTTCACGCAGGTTCATTTTCTCCGTTTTCTATAATGGTAGCAGGCCCAGGGGGCTGGGTAGCCAGTCGACCTTGAACCCCCCCGAGGTTGTTTTTCTCCTTACTCCGGAGCGGAGTTCTTTCCCTTTTCCCTGTTTCATGCATCACTCTGTATAAAAGATGTAGTGATTGGTTGCCACAAACTCTTGTCAAGTGCCTTGGGGCAACTGTGAGGTGAAAGGCGCTATATAATATATTGAACTGAATATCAGCCTTGGGCCTCCAGATGAGTTCATTCACCCCTGACCATAGCCTGGACTTTGTCAAGGCCGCGATCCGATCACCCAGACAGGAAACAGGAGAGCCGCTGAGAGGGGAGAGGATCAGATGACGGAGATGGCTGAGAGCGACCGGAGTACCTGCCTCCCAATCTACCGGGGGTCCGGCGTCGGGAAAGACCCACGATGCTCAGCAAGGACAGTATCGCAGATCAAAACAGCCCAGAGCGGCTTACAGCATCAGGCGGGGAGGAGCCTAACCCGACGTGTTCGGGGGGAGTCGGGCAAAGACAGCCTCGGTGAAGGGCCTTTCTGTTACGCCCTTGAGCAAAGTACCGAATGTGAATTTCTAGCATAAATATTCAACAGCATAAGCAGGCTGTCACTCTGGGGTAAACACAAACTGGCACCTCATAAGCAAGGGGAGCTCCATGCGCCTGCAAGGCTCAGCACGTCCTGCTAAAACAGCCAGCAACATGCCAGTTTCTCCATGAGGCACGTTAATTTGACATAACATTCCCTCTGAGGCACTTCAGGGGCCCTTGCTCTCTCGCCAGCTACTGATCCCCGCAAAACCCAGACAGACGATGGCAGGGTTCCTTCCATGCAAGACCTTTATTGCCCATCTACAGCTCCTCAGCCATGAGACCCTGAATGGGGAGACATGCTAATGGGGTGTCGAGGCTAACACTAATGAGGCATCAAGGCTAACGCTAATGCTAACAGGTGTCGAGGCTAATGCTAATGCTTATTGGGCGTCAAGGCTAATGCTAATGGGGCGTCAAGGCTAATGCTAATGGGGCGTTGAGGCTAATGCTAATGGAGCATTCGATCCTGGGCCCAGCAGAACAGAAGGGGCCTGCTGCACACAGCACACCGGTCAGCGGGCAGGGGGTGGCCCCAAGCGGGGTGGCAGAGGGTGGGGGGCATGACCTACTTTAAGGCCTTGTAGAAGAAGTTCTCGGGGAGCTCGGTCAGCTTGTTGTGCTGCAAGTCTAGCGCCTCTAGGGGGATGTGGTCAAGTAGGTCAGGCAGCCGCTGTAGCCGGTTGCAGCCAGACATGAGCCTCCTTAGACTGAGGCTGCCGAGGAGCCTGGCCGGTAGTATGGAGAGAGAGAGGGGACAGAAAAGGTGAGAGTCAAACGACACAAATCCACCCAAAATCCACCCAATGTGCATTTCAACAGCCACTGTTTAAAACAGAAATGCCTACTTCAGGTCTGAGTCCATTAAATCATTAAAGTCTAAATTTCTTAAGACATTTACAGAATCAGCCTTTGTCATTTCAGCAGCTGGGTCTCTGAGATCTGTCTCGTGTTCTTTGCATTTTTTTCAGGGTATTTCCACCGAGATAAGATTTGAGAGTTTCAGTAGGTTATAAAAGCATTAAACTATAAAACAAATACCTACTTCTGAAGCAGCAATTATCGAGTCACAAGATCCCGGGAACCACGGTGACTAGTCAGGGAATAACTCAGGATGGGGCACCAGCCCATCTCAGAGCTTCTGTTAATTAATTTCTTATTGATATATATATATTTATCCATCTAATTTCCTTAATATCCCTTGTCAGGATGTTGATGAAGAGTATATTTCCAAAACTCACTCAGTCCTCATGTAATTCACTAAGGACTTTTGTTTAATTTCCAAATTAGATTTTCTCAAAAACGTCTCTCAGACACTGAGTGAGTTTTGGAAATTTGTTCTTCAGTTTCCCCCTGGGATCAATAAATTTTCATCCTTTTTTAATCTTATTATGTTATCGAGGCGACGCCGGTCCCCCTTATTGACGGGCGCCCCTCCCCTGAGGTTCCCATCCCGGGATTGGGGGGGTGGATCTCGGCCCGGTGTGGAGCCGCCCACCTGCCGGGCAGCTCCACCAGCAGGTTGTGGGTGACGTCCAGCACCTCCAGCTTGCGTGTGTCGCACACCCAGTCCGGCAGGTACTCCAGGAGGTTCCTGCAGGTGACCAGCAGCGGTTATTTAAGCCAAGGTTCCGAACCCAGAACCACGAAATGCAACGTGAGTCACGCTCCATGAGGCAGGCCGTAACTAAGCGACGCGGCCCCTCACCGCGATAGGTCCATGTGCGTCAGCTGGTTGGGGACGGGGTAGATGTTCAGCGTGGAGAGGCCTGCAAGTGACAGGAGGAGAACACCTTGTTTAAAATGAAATGTTGATGAAATATACATCTGCCGTCTCCCGTGCCACAACCCCACTCACGGTTCCCGCTGGCATAGACGGCACGCAAGGCGAAGCCACTCAACGTGAGCGCCCCCAGCTGGTTGTGCTGGCAGTGTAGCGTCTCCAGATTGCAGGCGGAGCTCAGGTCCAGTGAGGACAGGTGGTTGTCCCGCAGATCCATGTGCGTTACGAGCTTTAGGGCATCGGGGCCTCCACTCTGAACCCCACACAGCCCATTCAACCTGGGGGGGGGGGGGTACGAGTGGGTTCCTGTTACAGATGGACGGTCTGAGCCCACTGATGGTCTGAATGAATGAACACCACGCAGTTGGCGGATTTAAATATGACACTGGATTTAAAACCCACTAAGAACACATGACCTGTAAACCATAAGTCGTAATGGAAAAGAGTCTGTTTAGACAGCCAAACACAACACGGGGTTTTCCACATGGTGGAAATATCATAGGTACAGTGGCCAGTGAGGCCGGCAGCTGATGCAGGCGGAGGTGGGGGGGGGATGACACGTGCAGAGGGTGCTCCGAGAGGCTCGGGGGAGCTCCGTCTGGCTGAAGCTCTTTCCATATCCATCCACCACCACCACCCCCCCCCCGGTATCCTCGACCCCGTGTCCTGACATGTGGTATTGTGAAAGGTGACCCCCCCCCCCCTCACCGAAGGTCAATGCTGCGCAGGTGGTCCATGCGGCCCAGACCGGCCAGCTCCAGTGTCTCCACATGGTTCCCAGCCATAGCCAGCCTGTCGACGCCCGTCAGCCTCTCCAGCACGCCAGGGACGGCCGAGAAGTTGTTGAAGGAGAGGCCCAGGCTGCAGAGCTGTGTCAGGCCGCCCAGCTCCTCGGGGAGGGAGTCCAGGTGATTCCCATCCAGGGAGAGCGTCTGCAGGCTGCGGGCGGGACATGGGGAGGGGGGTGATATTACCACTGTTATCTCCTGACTCTGCGTGGGCCGAGGGAATCGAGGCCGCACTGACTGAGCCAGAGCAAAAGCAGAACGGCCGAGTGTGACTTAATGCTTTCCGACAGCTTAAAACGGGAAGATGCCGCCCAGCAGAGAGGAGACCCGGAAACCCGGCAGAGGCCTTGGCGGACGGGACACGCGCCTCACGTGGCTTGTGGAGAGCAGTGGGCGACGTAGCTGCCAGCACAACCCGCAGGGCAGGGGCTGACATCATCAGGTAATGGGTGCGCCGTGCCAACATGAAACCGATCCCACGCCACCATCCAGGCGTGTGGTCAGAGACCACACCTAATTTAACAGGCGAGGCATATAAATGTGCTGCTTGTGGGGCTTCACGGATGTTGTTTTGTAGTTACATATGACTTCTAGTGCCTGATGTCATGACACCAGCTACCCTTCACCTTCTCAGAGCAGCAAGGATTCATGGGAAACTGAGTATTAGGAACCAGACAGGACCTAAGTTGTTAATATCACATTATATCTAACTCAAGATTTGGATTAACAGTAAATGTTCAATAGATATGCAATGGGCATCGATACTGAGGACTGCATCTGAATTTCACCTTCGTAAGGCTTCAAATGGAAAAAGATGATGGTGAAGTTCCATGAAGAATGAATTATTTTTTTTAACCAAAGTCACCACAAATACTGGGGACGTGTATCTGGCCCAGCCGGGTGGGGCTGTTTATATCAGACTGAGTCACTCCTCTTCCCATCACACCCGCAGACAGAGCGTCAGCGCCCTCGCCTGGCCAGCCTGAGGGCCTGCCGGACCGCCGCCCCCTCGCTGCTCACCTCTGCAGGTCGCCTATACGGGCCGGAACCGTCTGGAGCCCGTTACAGCACAGGCTCAGCTCGGTCAGGGACGGGATGTCACATACGGAGTCCGGGAAGGTGCCCAGGCGATTGTGGGAGAGGTTTAGGCTCTTCAGCTGTGAGAACCTGCAAGAGAGAGCGGGAAGGGAGAGAGGGAAAGAGGGAGGGAGAGAGAGGGATGGGAAGAGAGAGGGATGGGAAGAGAGGGAGGGGGAGAGAGAGGGAGGGAAAGAAGGAGGGAGAGAGAAAGAGAGATGGAGAGAGAGCGAGGGGGGAGGGAGAGACAGAGAGTGAAAGAGAGGGAGAGAGAGGGATGGAGGGGGGGAGAGGGAGGGAGGGAACGAAGGAGAGAGAGAGAAAGAGAGATGGAGATAGAGCGAGAGGGGAGGGGGAGATAGAGAGAGTGAACGATAGGGAGAGAGAGGGATCAAGAGAGAGAAAGAAAGAGAGAGAGGGAGAGAGCAAAAGAAAGGTGGGGAGAGAGAGAAGGAAAGAGTATTTGGAACTTTGCATACTTAAAAAGTCAACTTTTGCTATTTTGAATAATTTGAATGTGATAGTTTAACATGATTTAGCTAAGCAGTGGTGATGTCATCTTCAAATGGGGCATTTTTAGATCCCTGTGCATCTGACCCACAGCAGCAGAAAGGGTTTCTTTCTTAAGAAAACAGCCCCACGATTCTTTGTGGTCCCACATCAGCTGTTTCTGGCATCCCACTCTTTCACTTCTTCATTTCAATAATCTCCTTTGATATTATAATGGAGGGTCGTTGATCTCGATAACGGGCCAGATCCTACCCCTTCTGCGGCGTTACAGTGTTACACCCTACTTCCCAACCATGATGAAATCAGCGCAGTTCAGTGCTGGTTAACTGTAAAATAGGATACTGGTTTAAAAAAGGCTCCCTCAGAACGAGTTATGTGGGCATACGGAACCTTCCTCAAAGCCCTACGCAGGCATGCTGCACCGAGCGCGTTTGTTCTGTCTTTTCTGTCGGGTTCTGACATTTTTGAGGGGGTCTGCTCATGGGTGGGCGACTATCTCTACTCCCTCTTGGGGAGGGCAGACAGAAAAAAAAGGAGAAACGTTTTTTTATAGAACAGCAGAAAGTGTTTCAAGCATGCACATTAAAATGGTAACGGTACCATAAGGGAGTAAATGAGGCGGGGGTGCTGACGCGTAATGGCCCCCCCCGCCCCCCCCCCGCCCCGGATGCCCCGGTGTATCCGCGGCCCGCCATCGAGAATCGGAACATATGTTTGGGGTGGGGTGGGCATGCGTGAAGGCCGCCCGCGTCACCGACCCGCACGCTCCACCTTTCGGGTTCGTGGGCGCCGAGCTGGGGGTGTTTCTAAATATATAGGTGGGCTGCGTGGTGAGCGGGCGAGCAAGAGAGAGAGGGATGAAAAAAGGAGAGACGTAGAAAACAGAGAGGCAGGAGGAGAGTGCAGGGCGGGCGAGGGAAAGGACACGTTATGGTGACCGGAGGGTAAAAGACGAAGAGAGCGAGAGAGCGGAAGAGACGCAGCCGCGAATAAAAAACGACAACGAAGAAGAGAGCAGAAAAGATGATGAATCGGGCCATCAGCCCATAAGAGAAAATACATTACAGTGAGCTGAAAGAACGCATCCATTAAACACCACAATGCAATAAACCACCCCTGCCCTCTGCCCCCCCCCCCCCGAGCTAACTTGTCCTGAAGCTCACTGAGCAGAAAGATCCAGACAGAAGCATGCCTCAGAATGGAGAGAAAGACAAGACGCTCCTCGCTGAAGGGGGGGCATGAAGGAGACCGGCACGACAAAACGCTTTGGAACGTGTCTGGTCAGGACGTGTGCCAGCATGGACAGACCCTTTTCGGAGAGATGCGGTGGGGTGGGGGGGGGGGGGGGGGTGACTAACTACAAAAGGTCAGGACCCAGCATCATGAAAGGAGGATCACACCGTGACCGTGGAAACAGGCAGGCAGCAGTAAGAGCAGCAGTAAGAGCAGCAGTAAGAGCATCAGTAAGAGCAGCAGTAAGAGCAGCAGTAAGAGCCTTGTGGGTCCTTAATACGGAGCCGCCCAAGAAGAACACTGTCATCACAGACTAGGAGGGGACGCAGCGTGGGGCTGGAGATGCCAGGGTGGCACTGAGGAATACCACTGTCAGGGCAGCTTAAATTAAAGTTTATGATTCATCTATTTTTGTGTTTCCTCCCTCGCTCGCTGCCCTCATGCTCTGCCCCAAAACACACACAGACACACCAACAGACACCATTCAATGCTCAGTCGTTTGTTTTTGTGGAAAGACCCAGCCGGAATGGTTCTCGTAGCCGGTGGTGATTACCGACGGCTGCAGAAAGGCTTTCCGATTCTCCAGCAAAGCTGCAATAACGTACCTTTGTTTGTTGTGTTATGTTTGAGTTTCTCTAATGCTATAAAGTCTTATCAGAAATACAGATGTTGTATAATTACAGCATTATTTGCAGAGGTCATTTGTAGGACCCAAACTTTGCATGGTTTCAGCCCAATGTCTCAGGATAACAGATAAATCAACCCCTGGCAGTGAGAGGGGGCCAGCTTCCGGAAAATACCGAGAGAACAAAGCAGGGCCCCCTGCAGAGCGGCAAGGACCAGGGGCCCGGGGAGGGCCTGCCAGTACCTCTTGAGCTGATGCAGCCCCCCAGGGCCCTCGAGCCTCATGAAGTTGTGCCGCAGGTTCAGGTGCGTGACGTCCTGGCTGTAGAAGAGATACTCAGGTACCTCCTCCAAGCTGTAACAGGAGAGGTCGACCAGGCTCATGGTCTGCGAGACCACCTGCAACACACAAGCAGGACAGGGAACACGTGTGTTTAGGAAAGGCAGGATGCACACACACACACAGGTTTGTAATTATAGCTTTGTGGGGACTCTTCATTCATTTCTAGGTGGAAAACTCTAATCCCAACATGGCAACTTTAACCCCTACCCAGCCCTAACCTTAACCATAAGTAATCAAACAAAATACAAGACTTTTGACATTTTTAGTTTTTTGATTTCATTCACAGATCTTTGTGGGGACCTGAAAAATGGTCCCCACAATGTAACATAAACATAATCCACACACACGTATGCCTGCATACGCTCCTCCTAAGGTGTGGCTATGGGAGGGGAACGTCCAGCCAAACAGAGACTAACCAAATCTACCCAATCATAAGTTTTTTAAGAGACCCCCCCCCGGTGCACCACTTTTACCCACCAGGGAACCCCCCCCAAGACTTCTGACACAATTCAAACACCAGTATCCACTCAATATACCCAAATCCATACCCAACATCCTGGTAACGCCAGCGACTGTAAACAGACGGCATGATGGGAATGCGCACATTTAGACACACGGTAAATGCTCCCAGTGGGACTGACAGGGAATAAAAGCCGACGTCATTGCCGGGGGGGGGGGGGGGGGGGGGTTCTGGCTTTCAGGCACTCCAGGTATCTGCAGGTCAAAGTCGGCAATGTTAATGTTAATGTTAATGTTAATGTTTCACCTACGACTACCTGGCAGCCGGCGCTACGTGATTGGCCGCAGCTCGCCACACGGGGAGCCCCCTCAGGATTCTGGCTCATCGCGGCAGCAGATTAGCATCCCCCCCCCCCCCCCCCC